TAATATAAGCCGGTGACATATATTGTCTGATTTGCTGTATTACGCGCGGTTGCGTTACTATGACCCGAGTCCCTTCTATACACCACTACCATGCCAAATCACAGCTACTATAGTAAACCGCATCTACTACCCCAAATCACATATCTACTATCTGCTCACTCTCGTACCCTGTCCTGTTTGGTCGCAGTTGGGGGACTATGACGAGTATCTTGTGAACATGTTCGATGGCGAATGCACGGGCGTTCACAATGTGGGCGTGCAGCTGCTGTTCTACCCATTTCTGTTCGTTGCTGCGATCCTCTACTACGATGTACCGCTGTAAGTGTGAGCTCAGTCGCTACTACGATGTATTCGTGTGTTTGTGAGATCGGTTGTCTGCCACGACTCGTCGAGCCCTTGTACGTATGAGATATAAGTGATTTATAAGCATGCGATTGGTTTTATAAGCATACGATTGGTTTTATTAAGTATGCTATTGGTTTTATAAGCATGCGATTGGTTTTATAAGCATGCGATTGGTTTTATAAGCATGCGATTGGTTTTATAAGCATGCGATTGGTTTTATAAGCATGCGATTGGTTTTATAAGCATGCGATTGGTTTTATAAGCATGCGTTTGGTTTTATAAGCATGCGGTTGGTTTATAAGCATGCGGTTGGGTTATAAGCATGCGGTTGGTTTTATAAGCATGCGATTGATTTCAGTCAATTTACCTGCGTAGCTAGCTCTCGTTTGCGTCTGCGATAGCCTCCCATTCTACTCGCCTGTATGTGCGTCATGCTTAGTAGGCTATGGGCCTTCGCGTCTCCTCATCGCTGTGAATTGTACTTGCGTTGGGTGGCCGTTACGTTCTATATATTCCGCAGTCTTTGCTCGTCACTGCCGTAGCCTGTTGCATCGTATGCATGCATGGTTGCTGCGTGATTCGTTGTTGTTTATATATATATAGTATAGTTTTGTGTTGCAAGTGTGCCAGCAAATGTTCTAGCGCTTTTGGGCCATTGGTGTATCAGACTGTCTGCCATGCTTGTTGGGCATATAGATACCCTCTTACTATTGAGA